AGGGGCAGGAGGAAGAGGGGCAGGAGGAGGAGGGGCAGGAGGAGGAGGGGCAGGAGGAAGAGGGGCAGGAGGAGGAGGGACAGGAGGGGCAGGAGGAGGAGGGACAGGAGGAGGAGGGACAGGAGGGGCAGGAGGAGGAGGGGCAGGAGGAGGAGGGGCAGGAGGAGGAGGGGCAGGAGGAAGAGGGGCAGGAGGAGGAGGAGGACACTTTGCCTTTTAAGAAGCCTCTGGCTGATACTTGCCATTCCACAACATTTTTTTTTCTCTGACATGCTTAACTTAAAATTTTCTTGGAATTAAAAAAAAAAAGTTCAATATTTTTGTAAAATATTGATAACTTAAGGCGGTGACGGTTAAAATTAAAAACTTAAACTTAAAATTTTCTTGGAATTAAAAAAAAGTTCAATATTTTGTAAAATATTGATAACTTAAGGTGGTGACGGTTAAGAAGAAAGGAATTTGAATAACATGCTTGCCTGTACATACCGTTATTCTCAGTAGTATATATTTAAGTATTTCAGGTCAGCTTTAGTTAATTTCAAGGTCACATGTGACTGCCAAGCTGACCCATCGAGTGGCGAACCCGGCTGCAGGAGGAGTCACACAGACAGCAACTGCGTGAAGGTGGAGTATGCAGATCAGAGTCAGGGCCCCTCAGAGTTTTCCCGGGAAAGAAAAACCAGAGGGTTTTGGAGTAAGAGTCTACCAAAGCCTTTTCTCTTATAGGGTTGATTCCTTAAGAAATGTTGATTTTATTTGTTGAAAGAGCCATATCCAATTGAGCACCAGTTACCCAAGTTCATCTAAGGCGCCCTTCAGTGGAACACTGTGAGTCTATATGACCACCGCTGTGGCTGAAGCTTGGTGCACACCACATTTAAACCATCCATCCGGCCCTAGTGTTCTCCCTCCCACCCCCACAGGGCCTTACTCCATAGCTGAGGTTGCCCTGAGACTCACCATGTAGCCCAGGCTGGCCCATTTCCTTCTGCCTCAGGCTTCTGAATGCTGACATCATAGGTGTGCAGCCCACCCCTGGCTGCACCCCTGGTTTCTAATTTCTTTTCTCCTTCTCATCTCCTCTCTTAGGCCCCTTTCTTCTTTAAATGAAGTCAGTTATATGAAATTACAAACACTCCCTCGACCAAATGAAACTACCGAGACTGTATTTTTCTGAATAAAACAAAGCATCAAAACTCAACAGGTAAATGAAGCAAGGGTGTGGATTTCTTCTCTTCCTGCCTGCCTTCCTTGTCTTTAGTTTTACTTTTCCCCTTCAATTTTAGATTTATTTTCAAAGGACAAAACCCTTGACAGTTTAAATGCAAGTGTAAAAGAGTTGTTGTAGGCCAGTGGTGAACCCATAATGCTTTCCTCAGACGCGCAGCACCTCCTCTAAGGCCTCTTCCTGTGAGGAGAGGGCTCTGACTGTTGCCAGCCGTCTTCCATACCCGCACAAATCTGCACTTTGGGAACATGTTACTTTTCCACGTCTACATCATGAATTTCAGCCCAAAGTTTGTCTCCCATGACCCTAATAGTTTCTACTTGGGCCAAACTATATCTTTCATAAAATGGAAATGTATTGAGAGCTTTTGTGGGCCAACCTTGTTTCACTAACTCAGCCTTCGATCCCCTTGGATGTCAAAGGGGACACATAGTACTCTGTTGGTCCAACTGTGTGACTCTTTATGGCACTTGGTAGGAATGGAGACTGGCACCACCAATTTCCGGTATCTATTTAATTTTAACTTCAAATTGTAGGTCCTTTTAAATTTTTCATATTCCCAGTAATTGGCTAAGCTGTGACCCAGACCTTCCAAATTAGCTTAACTGATGGTCAGTCCTGGCTACAAGCATTCTGCCTGTGCCTACAAGTAAGCCCGGTAGACAGCCTGTGTCTGTAGTCCAGGCATTTCATCTTGTAGGAGTCGCTTGAGACACATCTCATTTCCCCAGATGAATGAAGGCAGCACCAGAAAACCTCGACTCACTTTATAAAGAGAAAGGAGGAGAAAAGCCCCCTTCTCTGGTATAAGCTGGTTTAGTGGACAGGCAGTGGGTATGGAGGAGAGACAGCAGCCTTTCCCCAGGCAGGTCCCAAGTGTGTTTGGGCATGGAGAAACACTTCCAGATGTGCATACACAGATGTGGAGCCATGTGGCATTAAATGTAGGATAGGCAGCTTTAGAGCTGACAGGTACAGCCACGGGTGTGTCACCAGTATAAGCACACATCTCTGATTACACACAGGCTTTCTGTTATTAGTATTCTGGCTATTCTGTTGGAATAGCATTCTTTTTTCTTTTTTCTTTCTTTCTTTTTCCCCCGAAGCCAAACATTAGCCTTGTCGGATCACAACAGCCTTATAAGACTGGTGTGGCCCTCACTGCTGCAGGACTGGGACAAAGAGATGATGTTACAGTCTGGTTTCTATGGCAACGGAGGAGGGGTCATGGAAACTGAAATGCAGGAAACACCCATTCTGACTATTGTGACATAATTCAGTCTATTACAAGGAAGTAACTATCTAAGAAGCAGAAGTGTCATTACCTGTCAGCTTCTATTCACAAAAAGCTGCACTGTGTATTTCTCTTAGCTGGTCTGTATAGAAGGGGAAAAAACACCACACACACACACACACACACAGTCCTTGCCTTCTGCATGTAAAATGTGTGTGTTCTTTAGAAGCCAGTGGTTGGCTGGTTTTCCGGACATGATGCGGTTGCAGCTGTCATCGTAATGGAAATTCACTGCTGTAGCTATGGTAAATCGAGCGCTCTGCCTGTGCTGAATGCATTAGTCTAATGAGGTGTTTGCAGCGGCGGCGAGCAGGGCTGCTGGCGACTAGCTGTGAGCCGTAGCAGCACACGGGTGGAAGATAGCTTTTGCAAGCCACACTCACAGTGCTTGTGCAGGAAGTCACCTGTCTTCTAAGCCAACACTCCTGACCTCAGCAACACCCTCATCAGGGCTCTGTGACCAAGCTGTAGGTAAGGGAGAAGCATGCTGGAGGCTGTGTGCTGTCACACACGGCTCCTTCTCTTTGGGCTGTCAGCACAACAGGTTACCTGCTTTAGTTTATTTGGGAGGGTTTGCATGCCTGCCTCTGTGGCAACGCACCAGTGTCTGGTGCTAAAACTACTGAGCCCCGAGGGTAAACTTCAGATCCTAACCTGCAAAATACAATGTTTGATTTCTTAACTGTGTTTCGAAGGAAGACGTAAAATAGAAACATACAGTTTATATACATTTTTGATATGTACCGCTCTTTAAGTCTGCGTGTAAATATGTTCAAAGTTTCTATTTTTTCAAATATGAACTCAGATAACTGCTTGTATTTTTCTAATAATAATTTTGCCTTATTTTGTTTTTATTAATTTAAAAATTGTAGTATGTTTTAGGTTACAAATACTTACCTAAAATTTATTATTAAAATTGGCGTGATATAAGCACACACTAAAGCATTTGTTTCTAAGTTGGATTTTATTTATTTAGGTTGAATGTTGCAGATGGGATATTTCATGTGTTTTTGTTGGTTGCTAATTTACTAGTCGTAGATAAGGATACTATTGATTGCTTGCAAGTTCCTGCTGTTAGGTTTTTAGGAGGAAAAAAAAATCCCAGGTTAGTATGGAATGTTTGGAGTTTTCCCAAGTTCGAAGACAAAATTGCCTCCTTCCCCCACACAGCACTATGTGACCTGAACTAGCTTCCCTTCGTTCTGCCTGCAGCCTCTAGTGTCATCTACAGGTTGCTCTGTAGATGGACAGGACCAGTGAGTACAGGTGTGGAGCGGGCTGCTGAGTAAGCAGATTTGACTCAGCATTGATTGTTGGAGTGTAAGCTCTTGCCATTATTTTCGACAATCAGCCAGAGGTGGCTTGCTGTGTTGTCTTTCTAGGGTCATGCTATTTCTCAAGAGGGCTAAGACCATCTGCAGCTCTCTGAAAAACAGGGCTTTGTAGCTGGGATACGTGAAAAGTGATCCAGATGTGGTTGTTGTGTGTTTCGTATTTTTAATTCCTTTCTCAATGAAGGAAAGATTTTTTTTGAAGGGCAAGCAAGAGACATAGTTGCCTTCTCCTCCTTAAGACTTTCTCCTCACTAAAAACAAAACAGAATGTCTGGAGAACTTGTAGAAGTATAGAGATGACTGTGAAGGAGAAAGTGCATGTTTTAGACAGTATTTTATGGAACATTTTGTGTGTTTGTTGTTTGGTAGAAATGGCTCAGTCTATCTGAGTAACAGCTACTGAGTGGCAATTACCTAGAAAACTAACACTGAGTGGCCACCAAAA